TCTGAAATGGGGTATCAATTTGTTCCATTGTCAGTGACTAACAGCCAGAAAAAAGGAAAAAGGGATATATTCTAAAACTACTCCAGCAAGCAATGGTACAATTGTATGCTTCAAAGTGTTTTCAAAACGTGCGTACGCTAAATTACATTTGCCCTATATATTTACGACAGCATGCGGTCATAGGTTGTGTGCACATCTAATAATGTACTGGTTGAGTTTATCTATACTGTACATAAATGAATCAGTAGACGCATGTTGGTTAATTGGTTTCAAGCTATCTCACTGTCGTCAGGAAGTTTCCACTATGGGTTTTCCAAGTACCTCCAACAGCCACATAGATCTGCATAACTAAACACAAATAAAAGGAAGGTTTTTCCAGATATCTTTTTCCTTTCACTCTCACGAACTCCAAACAGGGTCAATGGCGTCCACGAATGAGGAGCTTTCATTTCTGAACGTGCACCGTCACTAGTCACGTACGCACGCGGCTCCACGCGACCCAGACCCACGCAATACACACAGTGTCGCGGCGCTCTCTTCTGTTTGCCCACCCAAAAACAGCCAGGCGCGCTGATGGCTTTGATGATCCAGCCAGCTATCTTCTTTGTTCTGGCCAGCGAGTGTGCAGACCGATGGGTTAAAATAAGACCGGGTTTACTTAAAGCGTCTTAGGATGATGCTGGTTTTTGCATTTCTTAATTCCGTGACATGGTACATAACCTGAAATTAAATATTAGACCTTTTTAAGCTTCCGTCCCCATCGTTGCCTAAGAATCATTGAATAGCATTGTATTCGTGATCGACGTAACAGGTGTAAAATAGGTGTGATAATAAAATATGTATGTGTATAAGGTGTAAAAACGGCCTAAACAGTAGTACTCACCATTCTTCGGAAGACTGAGCAGGTAACGCGCCACATTAGCCCATTGTATCCGTGCCCATAGTGGCCAGGGGACAGAGGCAAGCATTGAGAGAAGATGGAAGGGGGGGGGGGGGAGGCAAGGTTTCTCCAAAGCAATAAGCTACGCTCACGCAGCCCGTTGTGTGCACTTCAGTGCACAGTAGACCAGATGGCAACCACTCAGCAATGCTCTACTGCCGTGCCGGACACATCGCACCGCACCAAGTCACTGACCCCAGGTCACCAACCGCGGGTCAGTCCGGGGTCAGCGGATCATCCGCGCCAGGGAGAACGTCAGCGGCAGTGCAGTCCAGAAGTACTCTCCTCATACATACATACCGTTCGCGTCAATGGACCGCACAACTCCATCAGTCGGAGATGTTGACTACTCTGGACATCCACGCCGAAGCAAAATGTCGTTTTTCGGTTGCAATAATATAAAACATCAGCAAAGCATTTCCAATTGAACGAAGAAAACCAAATTTTGGTAGCTGCGTCGAAATTTTGCACTCGAGCGAGCAACCTCTTACTGTGGTACGTGCAGAGCTTATCTCCCAGAGGATCCACGCAGGCGTTGGTAAATCCGCTCGCCGCAAATGGGTGCGCGATGCACGTCAAACCTTACCGCATCCGGGATTGAGTACTGACATAACGGACAGGCACTGGGCATACCATGGGTCAGATCGTGACTGAAGGAATCCAAACGCGTGCGTAAATCACGCGGTACAAAAGTAAGCACGCAAACCGCGTGTGGGTATTACGTGTTGCGTGTCGCAATACACAAACACACACACACACACACACACACACACCACACACACACACACACACACACACACACCACACACACACACACACACACACCACACAACCAACACACACACCACCACCACACCCACACACACACACACACACACACCACACACACACACACACACACACACACACACACACACACACACACACAACACACACAACACACACCCACACACACACACACACACACAACACACACACACACACACACACCCACACACACACACACCACACACACACACACACACACACACACACACACACACACACACACATATATATATATATATATATATATATATATATATATATATATATATATATATATATATGTGTGTGTGTGTGTGTGTGTATGTATATACTATATATATCCTTGCAGTGCTGCACATGCACGCTTCTGCGTCGCAGTTTGAGGACCAGTCACGACCTAATTTTTACGGTGTACAGCCGATGTAAAAAAGAAATGGGGATGCCCCTAATGGAAGCGCGACAATAAGTGTCTGTGCGCGTGTGGTCTGGGGCGAAGAACACCTGCTCTTGACCAGCCTAGCTCTCCGGCTACCGGTCCTGACCTGATCTTTTGGTCCTGACCATGACCTGGCCCAACCTGACCTGACCACACAGCCCGCGGGCGGGACCGTGCCGCGGAGCACGAGGAAGGGGTTGGAGCGGTGTCAGCATCACCAGAATGGCTGCACTTTGACACCAGGTCCAGGACAATGCTTGGAAAAATTGATCGATAATTTTGAAATAATCGCGTGAGCCCATTATTGTTCCAGAAATAACGTAAAAGATCGGACGCATGAGTCCAATGAATTCGCGTTGTCGAAGAGTTACAGCCAAACTTGTTTAAAAATCGCATCACCGGCCTCGAGGCGTTGTTCCACTACAGGCTTACCAAATTTTGACACCCACACGGCCCGACCGTACCCGATCGGCACCGTAAGCCGAGCCGGTCGGACCTTGCGGCCGTCTCCGCCCACCAGGCCGGGCCAGGGGCTCCCCAAACGGAGCGGGCGTCGCCAACATTCCTGCAGTGGTGCGTCAGCCCACTGCACGGCACCACACCGCGCATCCTTGAGCTGGGGCGAGACGGCAGTGGCCTCCCACGGCACGGCACCACACCGCGCACCCTTGAGCTGGGGCGGGTACGGCAGCGGCGTCCCGACGGCAGCGCGCTAGCCGGGAGACGGCGGAGACCGCCGCCTCGCGCGCGGCACGCTCAGAGGAAGTGGTGACGCTGCTGGGGTGGTGCTAAGGGAGCGCGGATATAGCGCGAGGCGCGATAATCCCTGGGAGCGCGACTGAAGTCCCGCAAGTGCGCTTAGTCCATTTACGCTGCAAACAGGCCCCGTCAGGCGACGGGGCCTGTGGTTAAGCGCTTGTTGCGATAAGATTTGGGCGGGAGCCTATTCTTTTAATAAGATTATTATAACGCTGAAAAATACCACGGAGAATTTTCGATTCTTTTCGTGTTTCACCAGGGAATTTAACACATGAAGTCGCGGAAAATGAGGCAAACATGAATATGTCTCGTGCTTTATAGTTGTCCACCGAGAAAATACTGGCCATTCCAGCTCTGCGCTGACTGACCTTTGCCCTGGCGGCCAACACCAACTCGACCCGACCCGACCTGAGGGTAGCTCTTTGTACACTGTCGCACAGAGCACGGAAGCGTGCTCAGTAAGGGCAATACAGAGATGCAGCTAGTGCGGGGCCTGCAGAACGGACAAGCTATTAAATAAATCAAACATCCCATCCGGGGGCATTCACAAGACATCACCCTGCCAGGCATTTCTTTAAGCCGAAGTAATACGAAGTAATACCGCATCACGCACGCTCGCCATAACTAGCAACAGTCGACCGACGATCAGCTTCAAGTCATGGCTGGGGTCTCTGCAAAATAAATGGACCCGCTGTCACCCACGCGCGCATTAACACCGCTTCTTTACATTGGCGTTCGCGGAAGCCTCCCAAGGGCGTCAGGCCTGGACCGCAGTCAACTACTGTGTCATGACAATACTTATCTTTTCAACGGTGATACGGGGCGCTGTTGATGTTTTGCTTGCAGTTGCAAGTAATGCTATTCATCTCCCGCATAGGCTCGTCCTTTGTAGTTGCCATATGGTGATCAAAGTCATTTGTTTCTCCATACAGTTATGATTGCTAACTAAAACTTCAAACTATGTTTTAAAAACGACTTCCTGATACCATTCGCCTTCAAAAGTATGTGGCAACATTTCATGCACAAGGAAAATGTCCCACAAGCCCATTGGTCCGCTGCCCGATCTGAGCAAGTTCTGGGATCCCAAAGTGGCCGACGTTCTACTCCTCAGCATGCCAGTAAAAAATATAATTTCCGTACACAATATAATTGCCTGACCTTCAGCCACGTCTAGTCTGCTTTACAAGCGTGCATCATTAGTTACAGTTAGATGTGGGCTTCAAGACTCTGGCGTTGTGCACACCTTAGGGCGGCTCACTAGGAGTGGTCCAATTTCACCAAATCCTCGGACGTAACTAGTTACGTCATACGTTGCAAGAATGCAGCCCATAAGTCCCTTTTAGCCCTCTACGGGAAAGGTCTACCAGAGAAAGCGAGTGGACGTAGGAAGCCCTCTCAGTCCCCCTCTCTCTCTCTCACCACCACACATCAAATCGAGCAGAGTTTCCCACCACCTCCCCATCATCTAATAACGCCACCACTTCCGCCGTCTGCTTCCCGGCTGGGTGCCCCCACGTCGTCACTTGAGTCGAACGTGAACCTTGCCGCTCTCATCAGGTTAGAATGTCTCGACCCCAAGACGAAATGGTCTGATCCACTTCAAGCACAGGACCAGCAGTGAGACCGATCTGTCCCCATCGAGGGACAGCACGGCGATGCGGAAACATGGTCCAGCGGGGTTCGGGGGTCCTGATGACGCCCTGGGGACAGCGCCCGGTCGCAGAGCGACAACCGCATACAAACGTCCAGCTAGACACGATCATGTCTCGGAAGGTGAGACATTACTCTCGCTCACCTCCAGCGTTGGGAGACGCAAACTGACCTCAAAACGGTGGGAAGGTCACGCTGACCTGCACACGATGGCCCTGTCAATCCCTGATCTAGATGCGACGTGGGAGTTACTCACGCCTCAGCGCTGTAACAGCCACGCTTTTGACTGATTGACTGACCGACTGACTGATTTTAAACTAGTGATCGTTTTTTGATAGCCCCACTGATTGATTGATTGTTTGATCGATTTATGTATTGATTGTTGGCCTGATTGACTAACTGACTCACCTCGGCAATCTGTTCCACCAGCTGGTCCTGGTTGTGCATGGTGAGCGGTGAGCGCACTTCTGGAACAAACAGAACTGTGTGAGAACAGATGAAGACATGTGAGAACCGACGGAGTCATGTGAGAACAGACCGGACTATGCGAGAACATACGGGACTATACCAGAACAGACGGAGCCACGCGACAACTGACGGGGTTTAACGAGACAAGTAAACACATACGGGGCCAGGTAAGAGCGGACGGAGCCTTGCAAGACCCATCCAGCGGGGCTACGGGAAGACGTCAAAAGCTCCGCTGGGGCCCTCTGTACAGGTCCCGATCTGTCCTGGGATACGCCACAATACCACCAACAGCACCACTGCGGCGAGGTCCTGCATGACAATGGCTTATTGTGGCGCGGCGCTATGGCAGTGGGTGGCCAAGGCTGCCCGGTGGACTTGATAGCGGCGTCTCCAGAAGTGGCGACGCGAGCCCGCTCCTCTGACCTCGTTTACGGCACGCCACAATGGTGCGGCACCAGCCCGTCCGCTATTGTCACGCATATCGCAGACGCTCCACCAATGACAGGCCAGTGCGTGGGTGAGCGTCTGAAGGGAGCGTACTGGCGAAGTGACTTAAGATATGATTCGAAACATTATTTGACCATGCTGCATACTTGCACCCATGTAAAAGAGTGGAAAATTAATGAAGAAAATTTTATATAATAATGAAACGAATGCGCACTTATTTTCGGAAAAGACACAGAACAAACCTATTCAGCCTTGACACAAATTGTGGCGCATGAGCTGGCGGGAGTGGTATATGTTATACAATGATTGACAAAGATGGCGATTAAATGTTCTTCGGTAGGAAAAGCTGGATCAGCACCCACGAGCGTGGGAGCGTGACGATGACCTTGAGATCTAAGCGATAGTTTTGATTTTACATGCGTCCCCACACGATACAAACGTAATAGACGTACGTGAAAATGCAAAGGATGTTTGGAAGCCGTTAAAACCTCGCTTCGCCTGAAAAAGTATGTTGAGGCCGCGACTTAAGCCTTGGACATATTAGTGACAACAATGCGCTTTCCCTGGAACATTCATTAACAGGAAGCTTGGCTGAGGATATTGTCAACCAGCTATCGCTAACCCAACTGCACATAACTGCATTGTGGTCGGATTATTTGTCCAGGACCTATCTGAGATCCCACCGCGGCACCTTGTGGCTTACCTCACGAGAGCACCTGTTACGGTCAATGAGCTCTCGGGATGGATCTGCACGCAGCAGAACGGAACGTTTCACAAATATGCAGATTTACGTACAATGCCAGCGTTCAGTTCATTACCAGCGTTTTCGGGTGGCTGGTATTAAACCATGGAGTTATCGCTGTGGAACGAGCAAACACAAAACACGGCGACATTCATGTAATTCAGATTATTTTCGCTATTATGGAAACAACGGCCCAGGGATGATTGGCATCCCAGGCCAACTTGGGTCTCCATGGGATAAAATACAGCAAAGGAGCAAAAGGATCGGGCGGAGCAAAAAGTCCACCAGTAATCACTCATTACAGTCACTAATTTTAGCGTCTTTGGCCGATGTGACAGCAGTTGTGGCGAGTTTCATGGTACGGTGTTCGGATAACAAAGCTGTCTTGACGACAACTGTTAGAATTGAGACGGCTGTTCCAATTTTAAAGCAAACAACAGCTGGCTCCAGAATATTTTGTCTCCGGTTTCTTAAATTGTTACAAGGCATGAACGGCTGGACGAGCCGTGCAAGCGTCATTGTTGCTTAGCCAGATACGACTATTACCAAAGAAGACTTTCCTGTTGAAGGACTTAACACAGGGCAGGAAGCCAACTCTCCCCGACACTTTTGAGAAACGGACGACGCCCTCGCTCTGTACGACACAAACGGTTCAACATTTTAAGTTGCAACTTTTGACCAGTTGAATGAGATGAAACCTGTCCGTGAAAAACCTGTAAAACCTGTGAAAAGGAGATGATCTGTCGACTGAAAGCGATGAAAGATTGCCATTTCTGGCCACTGCGATTCTGGCCAACATCACCAAAAGTTCTGTTGAGTTTACGAGTGTTGGGTTAACGATATTCAATGCGCCAGGAGTTGCTGGTCAAACAACATAATAGTGCAATATAACGATTCAAATGACTACCGAATATTTCCAGCCGTGCGTATCCTCAAGGGCACCGCTCGGATATTGAGAACAGCTCTTGAAGATGAGCACAGATGGAAATATTGAATACCGCCAATATAATCGCCATTAAGCATTACAAAGCCACTTCACCCGCGCCTCCTGGAGTGTTGAAGGTCGTTTGCTCAACATAACTTCCAACTCTTAATGCCGAAAAAACCGGGAGCTGAATTGCCTTATAACAATCACAGATATTTCAAGTCCGTTCACAGTCCTTTACCTCCCATCCCCCACGCCTTTGCAAAAGTAGCCGTGCATTGCACCACTCCTAGCGTACGTAACCACGCGGCCAGAGACACAACTAGCACCGTCCGCGTCTCTCTCCGCCTCGTCGTTCTCCTCGCCTGGGCGGCGTCCTCGGCACGCTTCGTGCTCGGCTGGCGGCGCCCTTGGGGTCACGCGGGCAGCATCGCCCCCGGCGCTTCACGGCGAGACGCCGGCGCCGTGCGGTAACACGCCGGCCGTCTGGGACGCCAGCGGAGCGGCACGGCGCCCGCTCCGGCAGCCTCCGGGCCGCGGTGGCGGGCACGCCGCATCCCCGCGCGCCGGGGCCGAGACGGCATCAGAGAACTCGTGCGAATCAACAGGGTCGAGCGGAAACAGGCGGTGAGAAGCGCGGAGCGTCTCCGCCGGTTGGGCGGGCGTGGGCGTGGCCACCGCCAAAACGAACGGAGCGTGGAGCTGGCTGCGGCTCGGCACTGCGGTGGGGTTGTCGCCGGGCGCCGCTCGTCGCCATGATGGACGAGATCTGTCGCCGAGCGCAGCGCGCCAGCTCACGGCTGACAGTCACGTGAGGGATCACACTACAGGACGCGCTGTCGCAAGACGTGTGCACTACAACAGCGTGACGGAAAGGTCACGTGATGGATCGGTCGACGGCTGCTGGAGGCTCCACGCCAAGGTCACGTGGCATGACCTTCCGGCCGTCATAACGTGGCGGACCGCGTCGCGATCGTGGGCGCCGCTTGCCGGCTCCGTCCGAAGCGGCGTGATCAGCGGGCGGGCGTGGCACTGCGAGTCACGGCGCATGCGAGTGACACGCGTACGTCTTCCGCACCCCGAACGCAGTGACCGTGTCGACTCCGCGAGGCTTTCAGAAGGCTCGCCCACTGAACGTGGATTAGAAACCTAAGCAAGTGTGTTGGTTGATAGGCTATGCCACGTGATGAGTGTGTGGGCGATGCTCTTCGTGACCAAGCTGAGCACAGAAGAGCATAGGGTCACCTCAGTCATTAAGTGGGCAGCGAAAAAAGAAATGCGTTATGGATGTAACCTAATCCGCAGACGAATAAGAAAACGTTCACGCGAGAGGTGGCGCGTAATGATACACGGCCCACAAGTTTTAGGCAAAACAGCGCTTGAGTTCACCATGCAGTGCAGCATCAAGGCATGACGGCAACACGCTCCCACACATACTCGCCGATCCGTTGAAGACCGTGTGCGGACGAGGAGTGGCAATGCCGGAGCTCGATACGGCAATGTTGTGACAGTGAGCTCACAGCAATCGCTTAAGGGACGACTCCAGCCTAATGCACCCTGTCTAGCGGCGTGTCATCCCCGAAACGCTGCCGGAGTGGCGCTGGCGCACCGAACAGCTGCGCGCTGCACCAAAAGTGGCATCACCAAAGAGCTGCAACTCAGATCGCCAACCCATCGACGTAGCCTGCCACGCCCATTCCTCACCATCATTCTGTGGACTCAGTGTCGTGTCGCTGGACAATATTCGCTGGCCTCTTGGAACCGGTCTTCACCGTTCAACACGGTTACCGGCCGCCACCGCGCGGCACCCCCTAATTGTGGCTGGCCGGTGTCGCCGGTCCGTCTGCCCTTGAGCACCGCCAGGGAATGTGAGCTGCAGTAAGCTGACGACGCCTCGGCTTTGCAATTTTAACAACTCATTTAACATATACGCGAGCGGCTAGAGTATGCTTGTTGCTGCATGGCAAACACTCGGCGTGCACCGAAACGGCCTTGAACACAAAGCGAATGAAAGCAGACCTTGTTGTCTATACCTTGCGCGTCATTTCGTAATCAACATCAGCGCGGGTACAAATACGCTTTCAACTCCCGCTAATTCTAGCCAGACAGAGTGCAGACGTGTTCTTCCAGTCACAAAGCGCCACAACGCTATCGGCCAACACAGTCGTGTGTCAGCTTAATTTGCATCTGAACTTTGTACACCGGTCGGCTCGACCTGACACAAGTACCGCGGAACCGACCTGACACAAGAACCGCAGAAACGCAACTAATGTGGCGCTGGATTCAAAGCGCTGCATGGATGGAATTTTGAATCTTTCGAGGAACCTACCTCCATGATTGTTAGGGCCACGTGATACTGTGGGGCACAAATCCCGCAACTACTAAAAACCACAGGAGCCGGCTGTGAGACTAACGTTTTGAGGAATGTAGCTTTGCCACCTCCACCCAATTAATTTCACGAAGCTCCACCTCTTGTCTGTCATATGGGCCGTGGCATGTGCGAAAGCGGGGTACGCTATCGCCGCACGTGTGCGGCGCCAAACGATACCATCTATGACGTCACTGAGCGCACGATAACTCGCCAACGTGCACGTAGCGGCCGTGGCACTGACATCACAACTCTGACGTCACTGGGCACAACATAACCCACTAACGTGCACGCAGTGGCCGTGGCACTGACATCACAACTCTGACGTCACTGGGCACAACATAACCCACTAACGTGCACGCAGTGGCCGTGGCACTGACATCACAGCTCTGACGTCACTGGGCGCAACATTGCCGACTAACGTGCACGTAGTGGCCGGGGATCTGGCGCCGCAGTTACGGACGGGAATCGTTGCAGTCAAGCCAGCGAAATATCAACGCAATATTTGGGACTCGAG